AGATTGTAATTATACCTATGACCTATTCAGTTTTCTCTTAAAACAATGTTTTAATGGAGAAATGATGTTAAAATCTTTGTCATAACTTTAGAACCTTTGTTTTGCTTTCTTGTTGTTTTTTTTTTAGATACGCTTAGATGTTACTAACCATGCTTAGAAAAGCCTTGTTTCTAGGCAATTACCCCCAAGTCTTGTAATTTCACTTCTTGCAGTACAGCCTTTGAATTTCTTGGGCTATGTGACAGCTGTTACATTCCAGAATACGCTTCTAAAGGCTCAGTCTGTTCCCAGAGTGAATCCCTTCCATATTTCACAGTTGCTAGTTGGTAGAAATGGTGTATGGAAAGAAAATGCACAAGCCAGCATTGCCATTTTATGAACACTTTTTTGTCTGGTGAAATACCATTATTTTCTCTTAGATAAAAGGGTGTTTTCTTCTTGTTTGCCTGCAGTCTTTTGGAATGTTTTCTTAGAGTTGTATGTAGAAAGAAAATAGTGAATGTTCTTTTCCAGCTGTTAACGTAGTCTCTCTTCTCCTTCAGTTCTTGCAGTTGCATTCTTAGTTCTCTTGACCACTGTCTTTTAATAGTAGTGAAAGTTCAAGTATTTGTTATGGACATTATTTTAAGAACTTTATATCAAAGGTGTGTCTTGTTAAGGACACTTATTTATCACATTAAACACGTCTGCTGTAAGGACATCTGTATTGTTTCACTTACTTTAAAATCCAGAAGTAAACAACGACTTTTCAGAGCTGTAAAACTATAGGAAGTGACTTTGCTCAAGAAAGCCTCAAGAGCCCAAAAGAAGGTTTTGTAACTTCCTTAAGTGTTCTCCATGTAAGTTTCCTGGGAAACTTTTCAGAATTCACCTGAAACTTGAAATTCAAATAGGAAATGTTCACAGCAGCAGGCACAACACTGTGTGTTTTCTGATCGTGTGTTTGATGAGCTTATAAAAGACGACAATCAGCAATAAATCTATTCCTTAACAAGAATATTAGAATATCATATTTTAGCTGTAGAACCTGACAGAAGTGAATTGCAACAATGGTATAAGACTCTAGAGGTGTTACTAAATGTGCTGGTAATTTCCGCTTGTGGACAAGTCTATTTCTTCCTTTTCCGTCCTTGCCACTGAGCTAGAGATAATATTGAAATCCAAGAGAGGGTCCCAAGTAAATCCAACATTTCTGCAAATATTAGATCATAGGAGAACTTCAAAATTATGAGCAGAGACCTAGGGAAATGAAAATATTGTATTGACCTCGATACTAGCACCCCTCGGGAGACTTTCAGTAGTTCTAATCAAATATATTACCCAATTCTTCCTATAATTGTAAATACCAATGAGGATGCTTCAGCTGTCTTGAGATACAACTCACTGTAAACAAACCAATCTGTTTCGTTACATTGGTTAGTCAAGAGCCCAGTGCGTGAGCACTGCTTGGTTGGCAGCAAGTTACTCAGAAAGTTGTGCTGCTGTTGCTCTTTTCTTACTTTTACACTTCAGCTGGTAAACAGAGGAAGAAACATGCAGGTCTGCAGCCTTTAAGGCACAGCTCTTAATCAAAGTCACTACCACTGGTCTATTTTTAGGCTTCCCAGTTTCAAAGATAGGTAATATTACCCATGCAAGAATAATATTGCATGCTACCAGTATATAGTCATGGATTGAATGCAGTATAGCCTCAGCAATGTGTTGACCCTTCGGAGTCATAAATCGGGTAAATGATTGTTTATTGTTGATTGTATACAGACACCTGCTTGTGTGTCACAAGTACTTTGGTGCAGTGCTTGACTAGAAAGTCAGGGGTCCCAGAGGATGTGTGATCATTAAGTCATTTGAGTTGTGAACTGGGATTACCAGAAGCTGTAAAACCAACATAAGCAAGTGACTCTAGAATAGCTCTAGTGCTTCCAGGAACTGGAAAGGCAGATGAGAGACGGCTGGAGATCAGTCCTGCACGTTTCACGCCTCCGTTTCTTTGAGTCAAAAAATGCACCAGCTCTTTTGTTTGTTTGTTGTTTTGTTTAATTTTATGCAACTTCTGAGCAGAAATTTGGCATGGATTGTGCCTTTAAGAATCATGGCAACTTCCTTTGCTTTCTCCAAATTCCTCCTCTAGACTTGTTTTTAGTGCAAAACCGGGAGAAACAAGTCAGCTGTTATCAGCTAGGGCCACTTGGAAAAGTTTATTTTTAATACGTAATGAAGCTATGTGCCAGATGTCACCATGACTACTCATGATTGCCAGCCAATATATTCATTTACTTATAGGCATGAGGGACTGGTGTGTACTAGGAGGCAATACTTCCACCCTAAGTTTGTTCATCCTTCATTAGAACTCAATTTTCGTTACTACAAGCAGTTGCTGAGATGAGTATTATAGATACCACCAGGCATTAAGCCAGTTGTTACTTTTAAGAGAATTCTAATGCTTTGGGGTTTGTTTTTGATTAGTGTTTTTTGTGTTTTTAGTTTTTTTGTGCTTGGTTCTTACAATGTCATTGTCAGCTTATAGGGTTTGAAACGTGAGGATTGAAGTCTGATCAGGGACTCAGGCTCTAGGACAATCTCCATTTAAGTGACTACATGAGAAATAAACTCTGCTGGTCTCAAGGAGTGGGAGGAAAATTAAGAACCTGATGACTTTGTGTCCTCAAGCAGGTCAGAGCCTCTCTCACTTGGCTGGCATGAAATAGTTCAACTGGGGCGAGTCAGAATCATTGACCTGTTGCCAATAGAGATTTGCAGACCTGCTGTATTTTGGCAAGAGCTTCATTCTGGTCTATCTCTGTGGAACATCCTTGCTGTCTTATCAAGCTAACCCTCTAATGCAGTCAGAGTAGTTGTTTTTTGGGGTTTTTTGAATGAGATACCAATTACATAGTTTTTCTCGTGATGAAAACCATTAGAGATATTTTCTGCAAACGTGATCCCTACAGTCAGATGCTTGTGTGCCATCTTGCTCTCTTGCTTACCAGGATACAACATTTTAGAAGGAATGTCTGAAAGAGATAACATAAAGAAGGAAACATCTCACAGAATGTGATACTCTGTACGCCACATTTCACAGAAGTGACTTCTCACCCTAACTGAACTCTTGAGTCTGTCAGATGGGGAAGCCCATCCTTGCATAAGAACACTGTGCTAATCCCTGAGCATTCTCATAAGTGCCTTTTTTTGTGCCATTAATAGCGCATGGTGCTCAAGATTTCTTTTTCTCAAGTCATGCTTCATTTACTTTGTCTCCTCAAGGCCTGTTTTGTGTGTATACACAAAAGCTTAAAAACCATTGACATCAATGTATATGCTATGCATATATTTACAGACACACATACATATACAACATTATATACATGTGCACATCTACTGCAGACTGATTCGAAATCCTGGCTTTCTTTATGCCAAAGCAAATTGTGTGTGAGAGCAGGAGGGTTGTCCTCAAAGGTAGATGCTTGAAATGTCCTGCTGCTAGTTTTTTCTTTAGTGGAATCTCAGAACTAGATTTCCTAAGTTTGGAACGCTGGACATTCGTTGTACTGTAGTGGACCCATTATTTAGCTACTGGAAGGAGCTTTGCTGTCAGTGATTTCCATTTGAAGAACATTTTCTCATTCTGCATTTTTTCAGAGTAACAAGCTTTAAAATAGTATTTTTCTTACCACAGTAATTTGTATTACAGGGAGGAATTCATTCTAACTCATGAAACTATCTTGTAGTTCAGCCATTTTGATTATTTCTCTGACAGGTTTATTGCCTTGATGAGATTTATTAGTCTCCTGCTCTGTACAGAGAGAGCATCCCATAGGAGGTAACTAAATAACAGTAGTTCCACAGTATTCCTGCAAAAAATCACAGATATGGATGTTGCCACTTCCTGAAAAAAGGCATGAAGTGTTCCACAGTATTTTTTACAAAGCTATTCTGTTGTGGATGGGAAGGATAACTACCTAGTGACTTACCTTTAAATAGAACAGTGTTGTGTGGCCTCAGTAAACAGCTGTTCCAGATGCAGCCAAATGCCCTTTGATTTCTCTGTGTTCCCAAATATCCTAAGAAGGTGTAAAGGACACAAATTGAGTTGACCTTCTGTGTCCAAGAAATTCCACAGATATAAATGGAACCACTTGCATGGCTATTTCACTTTCCAAATTAGTGCTGCTAATACTTATGCTCATCTAATCTAAAAAATGGTACAAGATCGTTTAATAACAGTGGTATATAATTACTGGATGTTACTAGTATAACTTCTCCAGTGAAGGGTAGAAGGTTAAAAATGGTTACCATTCCTTAATTCCAAATTTGTCTCACGGTAACATTTCAAATAACTGCCAGATAGAAAAAAAAGTTGCATTTTCAGGACCAGGTTGTGACGCAGGTTGTGTTGAGTAGGTTGAATCTGTAAGAAAAGAATGTGTTTTCCAGGTTGGCTTGTGCTGTCTTCACCCTGCATCTGAAGCTGTGCTATGTGACAAAAGGGAGCGGAGCTGCATACGTAATTTAAGGATGGTTTTCACTAGTACTAATTTCAGAAGGAAGGGATATAACGATGAGATATCATCAAATATAGGTCAGAATATGGATTCTCAAAAATAGGAGATCTAAAGGTTGGGCTTCTATCATCAATGTGGCCTGAAATGATGTTCATGTCACATGGGACAAGGAGAGGGAAGTTTCTGATGTGCATGTTACTCTGATTCTTGATGAATTGTGCTTTGCAAAAGCTAGTAGCATTTATTCATGGTTTGAAAAGCTTATGCTGGAAAAAATGAAGCTCTAACATTTCTACTTTGCCTTTTAAGTTTAATTTTTAAATTTACTTTTCGGAAAGTCTGAGAAGTGTTAAAAAAGCGATGAACACTGCTTAATGTAGGCTATAAAAAGGGCTGTTCTGTAATTAAGCCTGCTGAATTTGTATTCATTCACACTAATCTAATTATTACTTTCTTTGAATGCTCTGCTGTGAGTCAAAATAAGCTAGTGCTGGATTTGAGAACCACAGAGTGAGAAAAGTAAGCAAAAACTGCAAAAAGATTTTTGTGCATCTTTTGAGTTTCATGAGACTATAGCAGACTTTGTGTAGAGAAATAACACCGCAAATGGATTTAAGAAGATTGCATGGTTCTGCTTTTAAGCATGCTTTCCATTATGAGTAATGACAGATTAACCTGTGCTGCGCTAGTGGTTTCTGAGGTTGAGGAATGGTGGAACCTCAGTCCATTTGCACCTGCAATGAGCAGCGAGTCCATTAGCCAAAGGAACTGAAACGTCGCAATTCCATGGCATCTTTTTAAAACGAAAAATCATACTGTGTTGATTAAGTGATTTTGCATCTGTAAAGATATAGCAGCCGATACTTCAGTTTCAAAAGGAACTAATGCACATGCACAGTAACCATTCTGAACAAAAGTATTCAGATTGCCAGTCCTGTGCTTGAAACAGTTATGCTTCTTGGCATGCAGAAACATGAAAGTAGAATAATATATGTTCCTATTTAACTACTTTTAAGTAGCCATTCTTCCTTGTGTCACATAGCTTGGCAATAGGTAGGAGAGATCTTAGTCCGTTGGCTGTTCAGTGTTGGCTACGGTACTGGAAATTACAAAGATGGCGGAACATATATTCACATTTTCCAAGTAGAATTGTGTATTGGGAGACTTGTAAAGATATTGACCAAAGGAGCCTCAGGCAAATGCTTAATTTATTCACAGAACTCAAATTTTGCATGTGTAAGGCACACCAGTGGAAGCTAATGTGTTTTATATATTTATATTATGTTTAATTTTCATGTACTCCAGCTTTTTACTCAAACTCTTCTCATCTCATTGCCGAGTATCTACTCCTGTTGTTGTCCATGCTTGCGTATAGCAAAAATGATTAAAACCTGACCAGACATTGACCTTTTCCTGTCTGCACTTGATGTATATTTTCACACATGCACGTATTGTGATAGTGTCTAGACTAATTGCAGACTGAGAGGAAGACATCTTTACTCCACAGAAATATTTTGTTTGTGGCACATACTGAGAGCACTACATACATGTAATTTCTGATGTCAGCACTCTTCTGTCACTTCATTGTGTATATATATTTATATATAAATGTAAATTGATTTCTAAGATACATAAAATTTCAAATTACATTCTAAAATATTTATTTTAAAATATTAACATCTTAAAGATTTAATTGTGAAATTGAGAAGCTGAGCAAAAAAAAAAAAGTCAGAAAAAACCCACAAACCAGTGTGAAACGTTGCTCTAATAACTTTGATAAATAGCAGTGTGTAATTTGTGATGGTTCTGCGCTAAATGCTGCACTGGAGGAGACATTGCCTCTGCCTTGAGCATTTTACAGGAATAGGGCTTGATCCTGCATATTATAATGGTGATTGGTCATAGTTTAAGTACAAGGTTAACACAAAGAAGCAGAATAAGGAAGTTCAGGGGAACTCACTCTTGTGTAATCAAAAATGGGGCTGGGCACTTGACTTACAGCAGTCCCATAGCAGGAGTGACATCAGATAGTGGAGAGCATAAGTAAATGTCTTTTTTTCCAATCCATGGCATTGCCATTTTCACCACCAGTTTTTGAATTCAAGAGGAGTAAAGGATGGAAGGGACAAGAGGTCTGAATTCCCATCTCTGCAGTGCCGCGCACTGTGCTCAGCTCTGTGCTTTGCCACAGCCCCTGGCTGACAGGTGTTTAGGTTTAATGTGGAACCAAAAGCATTTTACTCAATCCAATCTGCCACAGGATTTGCAGGATTAAGGCCTAAATGGATAAATTGTCTAAAATGAAAGGACGGACTACATCATTAAGTGAAAGATGATTTGGTACTTCCATAGAATAACTCTATATGAGCTATTCTTTTTCCTGGCCTTTTATTCATTTGGTGACAGAAAAGTTACATCCTTAGCTCTCCCCTCATCACCTGTTTATATTAGCATGCCTGTTAGATTGCCGATGAGATGCTCACTGTCAAGTCACTTATGTTTTTATACGTTTATTATTAATTTGGGCGCGTTGCAGCACCGTACTGTAGAAGATGGTCTGGAGTAGCATGGCAGCATGCAGAGCAATGAACTGTGATTCATTTGGAAGACTTGAGATGGACGTTCTGGTTTGAAGTGAGACTCGATAGCAAAGGTTATGGGAGGTGCTAACAGAGGCTCTTTGCTTTGCAGTGCTGCAAGGAGGAGCGCTGGATGGAGTCTACAGGCTGGTCCAGTTTCACATTCACTGGGGATCCTGTGAGGGGCAAGGGTCTGAGCACACTGTGGATGGTGTGAAGTACGATGCAGAGGTAGGACATGCTTCACTCTCTCCAGTCTTCTGTGTATAAAATACTTTTATTTTTTTAAAATATTTCACCACAGTAGTAGCTTCCCTATGACAAGAGATTGTGGAGGTTACCATAGGAGATTTTGGCTTCCCAGAAAAGGACAGGACTGTTTTTTAAAAACTGTCTAGATTGCAGATCAGATCTGTAGTTATTGTGTCTTCCCTGCCTCTTCTGATGCTGGCAATCATGTATTTCAGTGTTGGTAAGAACAGGACATATAGCAATAAACTGCTACATCAAAATCCTGCAGACTGCATGTGGGGAAGATTCGTGCTGAAGATAACAGGAGATTCACCACACTAAAAGCAGAGTGATACTGCCACAGTTTGTGTTTAAAACTCATCTGGGAATAAGAGTGAGAAGCAAAATAAAATGCATGACAGAAATCTCTTGGCATAAATTAAATTTGAAAGTAGATGAATGATTCAACATATTCTTAACTGTACACAAAAGTTTTTAAAGCTCAGCAGTAAGACACCATCTGCTCTTAATATTTAATAAATTACTTCCCCTTGCATTCTCATTTGTGAAATACTGTGGATGGACTATCATCTTCATAGTGCTTCTTGTTTTCTTGCTCCTAGCTCCATATTGTTCACTGGAATGTAAAATATGGTAAATTTGCTGAAGCTGTGAAGCATCCTGATGGTTTGGCTGTGGTAGGCATCTTCCTGAAGGTTAGTTGAACTTTTTGTTTTGTACCATTTGCATGAGTCCAGTGTGTTCATTGTGTTGCAGGAGGCCCTAAGAGCCTAGAATACAGAATAAGGCAGCATTATATTATACTGCCTAAACCCATAGCAGACTAGGTGGTGCTCCAAATTCTTGGCTTTCTCTGCATATAAAAATTGTACAGGAGCCATGGAGCACAATTGCCATCCATCGCTGTGGCAGCCCTGTAGCAGCATTATTGCCTTCATCATGACAGTGACACTGCCAGACTCCTGTCAGTGAAAGTTTTTGTGCATAATTGACAGAAGTTATGTGTGTATGAATCTGCAGGAGGCCCATCCTAAAAACCGCCTCTTTTCCTTTTCCTGTCAGTGTTAAATGTCCAGAGCATTTTGTCTAAGTGGAATTGTCTTCATAGCTAGTTGGGGAAGGTGACTGTGCCTCAGCAGCGTATACACGGTCTTGGCCTCAGTGTATTTTATTGGGAGGGTAACTTCTATGAAAAAGAACAGCTCAAGGCCAAAAATAAATCCACACACTGTAACAGAAAATAACTTTATTCTGTCTGATGTCCTTGGCTGACCCATTTGTGCTGACTGTCAACTGGCATGATTTTACAGAGACCGTTCCAGTCACTTTTGCTTTAATAACTCCTGTTATGAAATGAAGTGTTGCGGGGAAAATGTTTCTTTGAGAACTGTAACAGAAAACTAAAGGTGTCATGAGAGCGTATGGTTATTTTCTTTTCATATGGTTCATGTTGCAGGTAGGAAATGCCAGACCTGAAATACAGAAAGTTGTGGATGCTCTGAACTCCATTCAAACTAAGGTAATATTTGCTTTCTGTGTTCATTGACACCAGTCACAGCAGTGCTGTGTTGTCTTCTTCCAAATGTGGATTTTTCGCTTCTTCCCAGTCTGCTGCGAGTATGAAAGTAAAACAAGTTTTCCTGATGCTCCAGTAAAGAAATTAAAATGAAGTTGTGGCAGAGGGCAGGGAATGCTAGAAAGGATGAAAATGTTTTATCTCTGTGACTACATTTTCTGTCTTTTAACTGCATTTAAACTTCCAGAGTAGCATTCATCTCCCTAATCCAAACTACTCTTCTATGTGCCTTTTCTAGTCTGTAGTGACAGATGAAAAAGGCCCTTCCCCTCATCTCTGCATCAGTGGGATAAATTTCATTCCTCCAAGAGGACATGCTTCTCTTGGCTATTTCTAGACAAAGTCCAGATAAGAATTTTGATCAGGATATATAACTCGTAAGGAAAAAAAGCCTTTCTGTATTTTAAATACTGTATGAAGCATGTGTGTGATCTTACTGAGCTGAATAATGGGAAACTGAAAGTACATGCTGAGTAATTAGGTACCTTTGTAGTGGGTAAAGGCTTGTACCAATGAGAAATGTGGGCAGGAATGGTGAAGAATGAGACTACACTGTCATCTTTGTCATCAGGCCCCCTTTAAGGTAAATAGATGTTGGCATTTACTTTAATGGACTGACTTTAATGGACTGACACTCCCAAAGGTTTTCCCAGGTTTTATATTTCCAGTACAGTCAGTGTACATGGCATCTGAAATCTAATTGGTCCTTCATGCAACATCAAATCATATGTCTAGGAGCACGGAACATAAAGTCAGCATTTAAAATGAGAACCTATGCCTTGAAAGTCTGACAAGAAGTACATTGCTCAAAGTCTTTAATCCCAAATGTGCTGCAGGAGGCACTCAGCACTTCAAGAAAATCTTCATTTCTGCCCTTCTCCAGACATGGAGCTTCCTGTAGGAGATGTCACTACTGCAAGCCCAGCGTGCTCCTGTGGTCTCTCCCCTGACTAACATTATCCTATCTACTTTCTTTACTGTAGGGAAAGCAAGCTTCCTTTACAAACTTTGACCCCACTGGACTGCTTCCAGCATGCAGAGACTACTGGACATACCCAGGCTCACTGACCACTCCCCCACTGCTCGAATGTGTGATCTGGCACGTTCTGAAGGAGCCCATCACTGTCAGCCCCGAGCAGGTATGAATAGTGCCAGTCGATGTGCACTGGAGTCAGATTGATTGCTTCAGTTCAGCCCTCCTGGTGATCTCTGAAGTGGCAGTTTATGTTACTGCAGAGCTGTGCAGGGTACTAGCTAGCATCACATGTCAAAAATACGTGTCAGAGTGGTTATCTTCGTCTGGCAGGACTGCTTCTGTGAGTGGAAGTGGAGTTTGTTGTAAAATGTAAGGCCTTCCTTTGTTTGGACACAGAAAATTAGGGGGATTTAAAAAATTTAATTGGGCTTTCTATATATATGGTTAGAGCTGTCATGTGGCAAAAATCTGGGGAAATGCATGAAAGGACCATTTACAGAGTTAGTCTAGCATGTATTGTGAGCATCAGCAGGTTTGCTGTACATACACACATGTCCTATCTGGGTATACTTGCCCTGAAAATACCAGGTTTACCAAGCATCTGAAGAGCATGTATTCTGCATCTGCAGTCTTACACCATAGATCTGTAGTTGGTTTGTTGATCTTCCAGCATTTCCAGGACACAGAACTCATTTTACAAATTCTGTTCAGGACAGAACAGACTGGGAAATCCCACGCGGAATTGTGACAATCCTAACAAAACTGCATTGTTTGGAAGAGGCAAAACTTGCAGATTTCAGATGTCTGCTGCCTGAAGAACAACATTATTTTGTTAAGCAGCTTGAGGACAATAGAAGCTTCCTAGTAGGAAGGAGCTTGTGCAGATTAAGTCACTCCTGGCCCTAGCTTTCTGCACCATCCATTGATGAAATTACACAGAGGCAAGATTCTTTCCCTGGGTTCACATCTGTGTGCTTGGGAGATATAAATAGAATCTAGAGCCTATAAATATAAAGTAGCCCTGAAGGGCTTTAGTTTACCCTTCAAACTCTTAAATCTCTTTTATTAATAGCAGGCATGCTAATAATATACACATAATTCTAGGGGGATTATTCAGCTGATGTGAAAAAAGTGCAACTGAGCTGTTGTGGGACTTAACGTAATAAAAGAAAAGAGTAAATTACAAGGAATGACTATTGGAAATAATAATTATAGCAATGATTATCATTCATAAACTGCAAGGGAGCATTACAGTTGACACTGTTTGCTTGTTCTAAACTACTGGTATTGCTGTTGATAATCCAAGGCTGACGAATATGGTTTTATTGCAGGGCAGGAGCACGTTCACCAAAATAGAGTTGTTTTTCCTACTATGCTTACTTTAACCACCTACAAGTGGTAAAAGACACCACTTGCTTCTCCCACACACACCCCTTCATTATGCCATTGACATTTCAAAGAAGGATTTGAGATCAAAACTGTGTGTGGCAGCTTGCCTTTTCATTCCACAACTTCCCAAAACAAGAAACCAAAAGAGCACTGATACTAGGTTTAAGTTGGATTGGTGTTACAAAGAGAGATAAAAGCTGGATATTACAGCAGGGTGTAGCGAGCCCCTTATCATTTTCTGTAGTGACACAGCAGTTTCTCGTGGATGTTGAGCTCTAAACTTTGTTCCAGTCAGTCCTGAAGGTAAAGTCCTCTCCTGGGCTGGTCACTGCTGGGGGCCTTCCTCCTTGAATGAGGGAAAGCCTGGCCTGCAGCCTAGCTTGTATGAAATCCTGTATCCCACCTTCATATCTCTGTCAGCAGTTCCAGCTATCTGTGCGACATCATGTTTGGGTGGGTTATTAATTTGGCACAGTCTTTTTACTAGTTCTGGAGATGCTCACTTAGACGTGAAGATGATTTTATTGTCTCAGACTGTGCAAACACCAATTTTGCTCTAGGAACAGGCACTAAAACTTTACAGTATGCCCCTGTTGATGTTTGATGCTGTTCATGTGGAACAGCTTGAATTAATTTAGCTGCTTTAATATGACCCAAGGGTAAGTTTGGGGGTTTTGGTTTTTTTTAGTTATTTAAATATTTATTTGGTTTTTTATTTACTTTATTTCAACTGGATTAAAAAAAATTCACCTTTCAAAAGAGAAAAAAACTGTACAACTTGCAAAGGATTGTGAAAGGATTTCAGTTCAGGTCTGTATCTAGGACAAGCAACTCTTTGTGCACATTGTTCAGAAAATGTGTGCCTACGTCCTTGTTTTCTGTGCTTTCTTCTTGCTATTTGGTGGATGGGAGAGCCCGTGTCAGGGGCAGCAAATGGTGGGGGAGAGATGCAGAGCCACGCGGGTGGTGATGCCATCTCTACACCATCAGGGCTGGCGAAACTCTTGAGTTGGACCTCTGTGACCTCAGGCCCAAGGTGTACA